TCGACCTCTAGTTTCGGATATAAATCAAAAACTGATTCTGAATGTTTTCCATCAGGATTATCTTTATTAAAATCTGCAAAATCATCATTAAGAAATATCTCACACCATTTATGTGCATATTCACAACTTAAACACCGGATTCGTTTCAAAAAATCATCAGCAGTGTGCCGATTTGCATTGAAATGTCTTAAAACAAAATACATTGATACATCAATATTCCTTGAACTACCGTCTGATAAACACATTTCTAATAGATCACGAATATTCGGTAAATGAACTTTATCACTAAAATTGATATCACTACCACGATCTTCATCACCATCGCTTGATTGTTGTTTCTCTTCTGAAAAATTTTCACTTGATCGTTTTACCGTGATAGCACATAAGTATGCTGCTTGTTTTGAAGATTTCGGCATTTTATTGAATATGAATAAAAGATCTGTTAATAACGTACCAGATATACCTGAAAAGATATAGAAAAAGTAATAATTTACAAAGCGGTACAAAAAGTGAGTTTTAAACAAAACAGCCTATGGAAAACATATAAAAAACCCTAGAGATTCTCTGAAAATCTTTCAGTGATCTTGTCTATATCTCCATTGAATTCGCTATTGATTTTTATCTATATGTGTAAATTTTCAATAAATTTCACTTAATTTTACAATTTTTTTAAAATAAAATCTACTCCGTCTGATGATATATACGTGTTGACTTTTTAAAATGGCAAATTTTCTCGGCAGCGAAACAGATTATTAAAAAAAGCTTAACATTGTTTTATCCCTCAGAAAGCGGCGGTTTGAATGTGCTGAGAAAAAACTTTGTTATCTCTCAGATCTGGGTAGGAGATCGGTTTGGACGATCAATGATGACTTTAATCTATTTGCCTCTTGTTCCACTGTCCATGAAGCTGAATGAGACTTTAAAATTTTGAAAAAAAGTGTCTTAGATGCAGTTTTTTCATAAGAAATAAGAAAAAATAGTAGAATTTAAAATCCAGTTGAAAAAAGGCAGATTTTTGGAAATAGCACATAAATGGTGTTACACGACTCTTGACTAATAATAATAAAGCAGTTTTACCTGCTGTACCTCAAAAAAATGTTTACTTGTTTTTTTTACTTCCGCATCTTTCTTTCCAGCAATTTTGTATCTCCTACATACTTATATCACGTCTTGTAAATCTGAATCACTGTTTCCATTTTGATCAGCAACAGCCATCTCAAAAAGTATCTTCTTATGTCAGAAAATCACTTAAAGTTTCTTTTCATTATAAAAAGCTTTTGCGTACGTTGCCCTCGCACAATCTTCTAGTTATTTATTAAGAATTCGTTCGCTTTGGCATAAGGTTGAACTGGATATGAATCGTAAAAGCAGTAGCGATAGATGGGAGAGTCATTCGAGTCGGGATAGTAATAAACACATTTGACATGCTGACTACAAAAACTCATCTATTGGTTTATACGTAGAAGAAACTAAATCTCTAATCAAATACAAAATAGTCACTTGTGAGTAGATGCAATAAGTTTTAGCGTTAAAAGGGCAGATAGGGCGTTCTTCGCGGTTTATATGTGTGTTCGATTCTTAATTCCTTATTAAACGGTCCTTTTTCTCTTTTTTTGTTCAACATACACCCATTGCTATTTATACGTTGGCGAATACTAGAAAACGCTAAAAATCAATATGCATTCATTTATTTGCGACTTTATTGGATTAATTTTTATATTTCTAAACAACATGCCTTCGTTTTCATAGAAAAGAAACGTTATGAACCGAAAACGAAACTATTAGACTAAAGCGAACACGTTTTTTAATTTTTAAACGGTACTTTTTGCTATGCAGAAAAAATCTGGAGCTGAGCCTGTTGAATGTCGTCTAATACGTCTATTTTTAAAACAACTTGGAATTGAAAACGCCATTAACATTCAGGCTGCTAATAAACTATCTATGAATGTAAAGTACGAGAGACGACTTTCGTAAGATACTTCTTTAAAGGCTAAATAACTAAAGATTTTAGTGAAGATATTTATTTCGTACTTCTCTGAACAAATTTTTTACCAAAAATAAAAAAGAATAATAAGATGGATGATAGTCAGGTTGTAGAGTGGAATTTCTGTATGATGATTCGTTGTTTGTTTGCTTTCAGGGAAACAGAGAAAAGAAATAAGTCACCGATTGCTCTGGCTTTTGAAGTCATTTTACTGTAGCTGACATTAGCCCCTATGAACACCGACAGGTGAGTGATATCTGTCCTAGTAGAACTGGATTTCCTCTTTCTCGTGGTAAAGATGATTTTGATTATGGGCATTTGGTCACTCGAAGCAGGGATGGGCGAGTCAAGCCATTTTTCGAGTCGAGTCCGAAATTTTGAAATACTTTCGAGTCGAGTCACCGGTATTTCCGAGTCGAATCAAGTCGAGTCAAATTATTTTTTCGATTATTTTGTTTTCTGTTTATTTTGATAAAAAATATTAACAACAAGTTTCATGACACATTATCTAGTTCCTAGTTTTTGGTCCAGACGCTCGGATATTTCCATGTCCAAGGTATCATGAACCTTATAGTTGCGGATTTTTAACAACAAAACATGTGCGTATATAACGAATACATTGTTTTAGCCTAAGACAATGTAGCTATTAGTCAATAAAAGCAACGTCATTTCCTAGAGAATAACTTCACTTTTTATATACAAGTAGACACTTCAGAAATGAACCGAAACAAAACAGAACGAGATAAAACATATATATTCAGTAATATACACTAGTACTCTCAAATGGTGGCACCGAATTTTGTAAACTTCTCTAGATTAGTCTTGTCTTTAGTTAAAAGTTAGTCACTCGTTCTTAGTAATCCCTAGTGAAAGTACTCATACGATGAGTACGACTTTATTCATAATTGGTCCATGAGTACTCATATTAGTACTACTAACAATTTTTGAGTATGGTTACTCCATTACTCAGTGAGTACTGAGTTGCTCATGTGAGTACTCAGAAAATATTCATTCACCGTTTTATTTTGCTAAACTGAAACTGTATAAAGAACGTAGAATTTAGTGAAGAAACATAGAATATTTATATTATTATTTCCTCACTGGTCTCTCTGTATATGATTAGGGATGGACTTGTGGTCCTACTCTGGCTGCCTGAGATTACTCCTCTATATGAAAATATCAGAGGAACAATATTCATGAGTATTTTGTCAAAAGTTATATGAGTACTCAACAATACCCAAGCATGAATACTCAAAGTCGTACCCACAATACTTGTTACTCACTCATGAGTACTCATGTGAGTACTCAATGAGTAAAAAAATGCGTGAGTAGCCATGAGTACTCGGGACATTTTTTAGAGTACGGCTTTGAGTACTCACACATTTTTTTCAGTGTATTCACTAGGGATGGGGCATCGTATAGATGCTGGGAAAGAGCTCTTCGACTTTCAACTAATGTATATGAATGATGTGAAGGTACTTTATTGGTATGTACTTTAATTAGTGTAGAATCAACTTCAAAAAATGAGCATATTTTCAGAAACATAATTTCACGTTTAACGTTTTATCCAATCACATTACAAAATTTATGTTTAAGCTGTGTAATGTAGACAAGGTCTAATTTTCTTGTTTTTTATTTTGAATGTCTTTCACAATCGTTTCACTTCAAAATGGGGGCAGGGAGATTTTTTCGATTTTACTTTTCATGGAGTTTTTCACAACAAACGCTCGTTTGTCATAAAAACTTGTTCATTCATGTAAAAAAAGAAAATATGTGCTCTTAAGGGTACCTCCCCCTCTTTTTTGCAGAAAAATTGTCATTTTGAGCTGAGCATAGTGTAATGTAGAGGAAAGTCTGGGCTATAAAATGAGACCACTCCCAGCTCTCCATGACCTTCCTTGAAAAAATTAGGAACTTTTTACGTTTTTCCTTTAAAGCTTAGAAAATCTCAGTCTTTTAGATTCGTAAATTTTTCTCACCTTTTCTATATATTCAAGCTTTTTTCTTATATATAGCATGATAGAAGAAAGTGTATTCTTCAAAATAAGATGTTTTCCAGATTTTCCGATGAGTTTTCTTAGATATATAAGCATTGCCGCAAATGCCCTGAAAAACAGAGCCCTGTGTACAATAAACGTTTTTCTTACTATGCATTCTTTTAATACTGCCTTTTAATAGTACACATTACGACTCTCGAAAAAATCGTTCGATGGAGCTCAAAATTTTACCACAGATACTTCAGACCCAATCTCAGATTTTTTTTAAAAAGCGTTTTCGACTTCAACTTTCGGCGCGAGAAGGTTTACAAAATGAAAAACCGTTTTTTTATATGGGATTTTCAGTATTTTTCGGATATCTCGAGAAGGAAAGAATATTGTTCGAAAAGAAAAAAGACGAACGCTTTGGGGGAGTACCCTGAAGCTGCTTTTGTAGGGTGATGATTGAAAAAAGTGAACAACACAGACAGTAGGGACGCATGGCCAAAACAAAAGAAACAGAATCACTCTTGCTTCGTTATGAAAAATTATGTTTCACACACATTTCAACACTCATTGTGTAAAAGGAAGACAGAATCTCTTTTATCCAGCTTACTGGTTTGGCTAGTTTTGTATACTTTAATAGACAACAATGTGACAGATTGCAATAACGTCTCAGTTGAACTTAAGAATATTTATTTCTATTGCGAAAAAGAAATGAAGCTTGATCTAGGCAAAAAATTGTGCATCTTTACTAACTAGAGTCTAGTCGACTTTCCAATCTTTGTACGTACACGTGATTTCTCGTCTTACCTTTTACTCATTCTCGAATTAGTATTGAACCTTATTACTGATAAAAACGTGTGTAATTCATGACTTTCAAAAATACTGAAGGATATCTAAAAAATAAAGCATTATCGTACATCAATATTTAAGCATATATCACATTACATATATTACAATATTTCACACACTCTTTATCAGTAATTTCATTAATCTTTCATTATAAATTACACAATGGTTCAGATGCTCACTTAAAAATGGGAAAGAAAAGGAAAAAAGCTCATGAGAGAAAGAAACAAGTTACTTAAGTTTGAGATATGTTTCCAATCAATACTATTTTGTAATTTAATCGACTTTTTTCTGTAGCGAAAATATCCACTAACATTATTACATATAAAACAAACGGCATGAGTTCGTGATGGCCTATTGAAATCAAGACTCAATGTAGAATACGTTATAAATTATTGATTAATCAAGATAAAGATTATCAACTTCAACTTCATTATATATACAGACTGCTGTATTTGGTTTAACGATATATTTGATTTGTGTTCAGACATGTGTGCGGATAAAACATTTCTGCTCGTAGCCTTAAGAGTTACAGTGACCTAATAGTAGAGATGCGCAAGGGTACAAGGGTGTACCCGAGGGTACACCCGACCCGATCCGAGAA